CACGGTCCATATCTGTCCCGTTCCGGCATCGACTTGTGCACGGGACCATGTTGCATCGGACCGGTTGCCCAACGATTCAAACTGACAGAAGAGGGACGACGACCAAATCGTTTCGGTACGAAATGTCGCGTACCTATCGAGCCTCCGTCGTGAGATGGATTACGTGTAGTAGCAGTTCTATGATTCACAGTCATACTTCGCCTTCGACAACGAAAATTATTTGTTCCGTGACCGGCCGAACTGGACTCACGAAGTAGCATTGAGAACCACTGGTTCAAATCAAGTGTTTCGCTTAGGCGTTTTCGTCTTAGAGCCGGCAAACAATCCACATTGGTCTCCCAGGACATTCGATTTGGATGACAAATATTTTCCGGTGCCCGGTACACAGACCTTCTACCGGCCCAAGCCGATTTGAACGGATCAGAGAAACTTCTGGTTGACAAGCACAGACCAGTGCGTTTCTGAGGCTCAAAACCACGTCTGGCCAAATTGCACAACGGGGTGCACACACTTACTGTTTCCACTTGGCGTTCCATAGTTCCAGCTAAACAATACTGGTCCGTACAGATCACATCATTCGGGTTCCATTGGATCGTTGTCTGGGTTACGGCAAAACGCGAACAGGTCAGTGAATGAATTGTGATCGGTAATACCCATTGTTCCGTTTCCGTTAGCATGTTCCAACTAAGTGTGTCCCAATAGGTGAATATTCCTAATGCTTTTTCAGGCAGATGAAATTGATCACGTAGCAATAGACTAAGGGATCTTTTCAGATACATGTAACGGTAGGGAACAGATGAGTGGTAATTGGAAATAAAACCACAATGCGGTAGATTCCAAACAACAATTTCTACACTGTACGTTAATTCTCTAAATTGGTTCGGGAATTGAGCCAATCCAGCACGATTTCTTTGTCCGGAGGAATGAATCACTTTTTGCTGGTCCAGTTTCACCGTCCAACTGTACGCCGTTAACAATCCAAAAGAATTATCCACAAAATCAATTGCCGCCTCCAGTATGTGATCGGAAACAGTATGCACAAATTTTTGTGAATTCATCAATTTCTTATTCGATTCCCTTTTCCCAGTGATCAATCGAACACAGTTTTGAGGGAATGTTACACTTTCGTTTTTCTCTCCTGATCTGGCACGGTCTGAAAAAGATTGAAATTCGGTCAGATCTGTGGATTGAGCATGATTTGCCCCGGAGATTGGATTCGAAGCGATTTGGGTCGGCAAAAATGATTGCAAACTCCGAGCTCGCCCGTTTTTCAATGCCGATCCGGACTCGGTCGGGGTTGGACAGGTGTTCAAAGCAATTTGGGATGGAATGCATGAATCAGCCTCCGAATAGTCGGTCACCGCGTCCAGTGAGAGAAATGCACTGTGTGAAACCGATTCTTGATCGCAATAGTTCAAATCGACCAGATCCAATGCACCGATCAAATCATCCCCCTGAGCCAAATCGATCAATTCCCGATGCGGAATCCATGAATCACTGTCGGCATCGAACAAATACCAATAGTAGCCGGGTGCCGAACGACAATTGAATCGCGAATCTGATACGGACGAGGGATCGGCTGTTGTATTACTGATCAGATCCGGTTCATCCAACCGGACCGAACAACTCGACTCATCCAATTCACCCGGATGATTCGATTCTGAATCGCCGTTATCAATGCTCATATCTTCTGTGATAAAAAAACACTCGGACACGATCAGTTTGCTTTCGGACAATGTGATTGTTCCGGTCGCATTGTTTGATGCCACATAGGCAATCGGACGGATCGTTTCCGTATAACTGGTATCCAATTCGATGTTATGCGAACTCTGATCTGGTTTCGGATCCGTTCGTAATGATTCGACTATCTGCTTCTCTGATCCAGTTAACCTAGGCACACTGGTAGATAGGGCTGTTGTTGTTGTTGTGGTGGTGGTGGTGGTGTTGGTTATTTTCAGTCGAGAAACACACCCTGTGTTCCAGTAGGACTGCGGCTCGGAGATGGACAAATTTGGTGGAACTGTATGGGATTCCATAAACGGTTCGCTGTCATTTAGCATACAGCTGTTGGAATTATTTGTGTCCACTGATTGGTAATTTCTGGTCATGGACGAGTCGATACGTGAGTTCCGAGGTGGATATAAGGCTAACACTCGTCGGGCGAGTGGGGACCCAGAAAGTGGAGTAGCTTGGGCCAATCTGACCTTGAAAATATTATCTGATGGACAACGACACCATGGCTGAGACTGTGGCCATCTCAAGCTGCTAGTTTGTTGATCTTGACTATCGAGAGAAATATTGACCGGTTTCGATGCGTTCGGGCATTTATGTATACCTGGGTTATATATTTTCCATGGAATAAGTTCTTCTGTTAGCAGTTCTTCGTCTTGTGGTTGGTTAACCGGAAGGAACTGTGTGACTTCCAACAGTTTGACATTTGGTGAGAGTGATCGAACGCGTCGTGATCTCCACTTGCTCTCGGTTGTTGTTCCCCAAGGTTGACAGTCCTGCGAATTGAATACCCCACTCGAACAGGCCACATTCTCACACGGACCGTATGATTGGACAATATACCCAGTTTCATGACCTGTTCTAACATTCAGGTTTGGTGAATGAATGTTCGGTTTTTCCACCATGTCCAATTCTAAAGAAGATTCTTCTGACGGACAGTCAAATTCAGGTGACACGTCTCCAACCCCATGGAACATAAACTGTCCGGTTGGTTCATCTTCCATCAGTTCACCGGTATCAACAGTGACCACGGGAGTACAACTAAGCGAACCTTTAAAACTCAACTCTGTCTCATTCGTATCCAATGGAATACCAGAAACACAACCATCATGCAGTGTGGTTGAAGCCTCATGATTACTGAGGATTTCCATCGGATTATCGGACGCGTACTGCCCATCAAAAGGATGCATGATGTTTGTACTTGATGCTGTAAGATTTTTCATTGATATCCAGTTTCGTGTTCTGTTCGATTCAAATGAGACACATGGCACAACTGGACTAGTCAGACTTACAGAACTCCACTGGTCGAAATTTCCAGAATCTGTTGGAGTGGATAATTGTGTGACTGAAGTGGACAAATTTTGTCGTGTTTTTTGTGGTCTGATTCTTTTGCCCTTGTTTTCCGTTCGAGCGAATACATTGTATTCCACCGGCTCGGAAATATCATCCTCCGTTCGATTTATGTCCCCACCGGCAATGTTCAAATCCGGGATCGGACTGTTGTAAGCGCACATTTCTAAAGTGCATTGCGTCAAAGATTCCGTGCCTTGCACAAAAGATGATCGGAACTTGCACTCATCAATGACCAGAATCGCGTCCTCCAACAGTTGTGTCCCAATCCGGCAACTTTGTCTTGAAGCAGACGGAACTAGTACGGGAGGTCGCGTTTCAGTCTTAGTCATACTTTTATCAAACGTGCAAGACTGTGACGGTTTGTACCAAATACGATCTGCAATATGGGTTAACACATTCTTGGAATTCAATCGGCCTACGGTATTGGCTGAGTAGGTCGGATCTCCGAGCGAGTTGCTTGGTTGGTTGATAACCTGCACTGGACCGTGTGATGCGTATGCCTGGGATGTGGAATATCCTAATTCGGTTCGTCTTATGGATGGTACAAGTGCTCGCTGTCGAACTGTCCTCAGTACTGGTCGTTCGGATGACTCACGTGTCGTAGTCACATCGACATAGATTGATTTATGCACTATTTCTGACGGGGAACTTTCATCTTCAGCTCGTCTCGACTTTTCCGTGGACAGTGTGTGAACATTTCCCAAATTATGAGTAATCCCAATCGCTTTATCCTCTAGTGGATCCCGTAAAGATTGAACTGATGATGTTTCGCGAAACTGTGAAATCGAATCCGTTGCTGATCGATCATTCCCAGGCGACATCACACATTCTACCGCCTTGGATGCAATAGCATGGTGTGCCTGGTTTTCATAGCATAATTTATCGGGGATAATGTAGGTGGATACATTTGGCTGTCTGATTTCCAGAACAGTTTCAAAACTGTGAGACACATGAGGAGTGTCTGTGCGTTTACTGTTACAGTCACCTAGTGCTTCCCCAATTCCAACTAGGCATTCGGCCGAAAAATGTCCGATTTTGTAATCTGTTTGAGCAGACGCGGATTGAATTGCAGGTTTCACACATTCTGATCTCACTGAGGTCATGGAATCCGGGCTAGAAGCGAAGAAATAGAATTGACCGTCAGCCAAACATTTTCTCGAGGGAGATATGCACGGGACCAAGTTCACCGTTGAGTGACGAGCCTCATTAGATGGAACCGCTTGACGGATTGCCTGTGACGATTCCGACTCAGTTACACGGCTGTGAACGACCTCAGCGGACATATCTTTCTGGACTCGCGTAGATGAATTTTGTGATCTGACCAATCGTTCGTTCAATCGTCTTGCTGATTGTGCACGTCGTAATGAGGTTTTCGTCTCGAGGTAGCCCTTCGACGGTGAACGTTGCACAAATTTTCGTGCCGATCCGCGAGATTGTTCTCGTTGCATGGAACGTGAGTAGTACTGGTCATAGGATGAACGGTACGGATAGCGTGGTACACATCGTTGCGTTCTCGGCCGTGGTGATCTAGGACAAGTAGTGACCAGTTCAGATGGAAACATCAACGGTAATTCCACTGCAATCAGTCTGGGCCTGTGACCCGCGATTTTTGTGCGATTTTTAACCGAACTGTGAAGTTTTCTTCGCCAATTCCTAAATGGGCTACGTTTACCAATGGTATAATCATTACCCAGCAGCCCGGATGGTTCCAATTCTGGTTGAATGGGAATACAACTACAACCGAGAAATGTAAAATAGTGGCAATGATGTTTTGCCGATACGGCTGAATTGTTTTCGGTGTCCACTGACAGTTGTTGGTTCCTTTCCGCTTCCAATCCTAATGCATTGCTATCGACCTGTGCAGTTTCGGTAGTTCCTGTCGACTGTTTCGGTGGTGGAGTTTGATCTCGTTCCTTTGGTGAATACTTATGTAGTGCATAGTAACCGGGATCGAGATCCAAATAAACCAAACCACCTTTTTCCGATAAGGAGCAGCAACGACGTCGACGTCTTCGTCGAATTCGTCTACATAGGCTAGATGGCAAACAATCGGAGAGCTCCACAGAACGATACCAACTGCGTGTACAGCCTGGACAGGAACAATGACAACAGTTAGACCGATGCATGATCACATTGGATTTGTACTGAACGCAAGAATCCGTGCTATAAACTCGTCGATGGATCACATACGGCCCCATGGAACCACATGTACAAACCGGTCGTACAATCGGATAGTAAACAACCTTTTGAATCTTTCGTCCAGTCGAGTTGTTATTCCAGCCCAGAACATTGGATCGAGATGAATCCAACGCATTCAGACCGACCGAGTTCCGGTCGAATGATGCGAAACAAGTAGCGGGGATAATATTGACACCATCTTTGACCAGTTCGAACGTGAGATTCCCGATAGTCGCAGATTCCCGAAAACGACTTCGTGTGTGTTCCGTCGGATTCTTGGTCAGTCCATTCGATGTGTGTCTACCGCTGTGAAGCTGGCGCAGATTGGTGCGTCGATGGAACGGATTCAAAGGCATAATGATATTGTGCATGGCAGATGAATTGGTGCGAATACGTAAACCAGGAGGTCGGTTGTGATTATGCCGATCCAACGATCGGGTTTCGAAACTACCACTCTCTCTCAGCTGTATGGACTGGATCGGTTTGTCCATCGCACGAGGACTCAGTGGAACTGCATTTGAGGCGGTTCCCGCTCGTCGTTGTGATATTGCACGAGGAGTGAATATGGAGTACAGAATCTCCTGAGTTTCCATAGTTTGTGTGGCTTTGGGCTCACAAATCCGTGACACATACGGGGACCATAACCGGTCGGGAGTCAAAAGTTCACTTTTCAAAACAAGACAATCAGACACATTGTTTATCGTTTGGAATTCGGTTGGTAAGGAAGACGCCAAGTGAATCGTACTAACTGAATAGGTATACAACTGATACAACCCACTGAGGAACCGGATCACGTGATCAGCTACATGAACAACAGTTGGCAAAGCAAGAGGACACCAATTGGGCGATTCACGCAGACAAGACCAGGGAATCACTTTATGATTGGTGAACGAAACAAACAGGATGGTGTTTGTCAACGGTTCGAGTTTCGTGATTATCGACTTACCGGTTTGGGGCTGGAATTTCACATTCTTTTCATTGTTTTTTGGAGCGTGTACAAGCAAAGTTGGTGTGTCCCCATTCACATAGTCAGTCATAGATGGGATACGATCTGATAAGCGTGACATACACCTGGGTAACGTGTTCATCGAACCTTGACACTCATAACGGCGAAACGATGGCAAATTGAATGGTTTCATTGGTGGAATTGTTTGCTGAAAATCTTCCACTATCGGTGAAGATATATGGCCCAAGCAAACCGCTTCAGACGAACAGGATAGATTCTCTGCTTTTGCTTTTCTAATCAATCTCCTCATTTCACCAGACTGGCTTTTGTTAGTCCGAATGATCTCACTGGTGGGAACTACGCTGGATACCATTTTGGACGATGGTTCCACACTTTTCGAACGCCAATAGTTTGTACTCTTTCTATGCTTATTCTCCATAGCTTCGGAATGATGAGTTTCCACTAATCGATTGACAATACTCCTTAAAATTGGCTTCAATTCAGACAGAATATTGGTAGATCTGGAAGCTTCGGAAGATGAAAGTAATTCAACAGAGGCCAGAGCTTCGTCTGTTGTCTTGTCCACGGCCGAGTCAAATTCGTATTCCAATCGGATGCGATATCTTGAAGTTCGATCGATTCGTTTCGCTTCAATCGCCTCATTTGTGAGAAAAGGTCGCTGAATTTCCGAACATTTGACAGACGCCTCGAGAAAACTTTTATCTTGACCTCCACCCAAACGTTCTCGACTCTTGTCCAGAATGAAATGTCCACGAAATCGGGTAGATTTGCTAATCAGTGGCTCGGAATCCTGCATTGATTTTGTATCACAATGAAATTCCGGATTGTTTTTGTTCGCGGCTAAAAGGGTCACTTCCGGCGGACTAAGTCTACTTGACGGTGAAAAAGCAGAACCGTTTGTGTTCATTTTTCCGTTTGACAGCAAAAAAGCTAGATGAATTCTAACCGGATTCTCACCCCTTCCCCCAAACTGGCCAATACTGGCACCTTTTGTTGGCTGTTTAGACAAAACACAAATGAATATAGACTCGTCTCGCCTGCATAAAACGCTACGCGTCGTTTAGAACAGGGCACCAATCAAAATCTGGGATCCGATTCGAATATGATCGATCGAATCCCACAATCATGTGATCGAAGGGCATGGAGTGAGATGGCTCACGTTACTTGCACTCTAAGACCAACTTTGCTAGCTGCACACTTGCACCAGTGCCCCCCCCCCCG